TACCTGATAAAAATCAAACGACTGCGCATCAACTATCGGTTTGAATATCATTGCCAATCTGCGTATTCAAATCCAATGTATATACGCATCGTATTTATGTTTCACATTATGAATGATTCCATTATGAATGAATCCAAAGACCTGTTGCCAGTCATCCAACCAAGCGGTCTTGGTGCTTTGCATTCGAAACAGAATGTATTTATCTTGGATTCTAATGCATATGTACATCCATTCTCGCGTTTTATTAGACAATACTCCTGTTTACTTGCATTGTATGTAAATTCAATAGTAACCCATATATTTTTGATACGGATTCTGAATGCTCAACACATAACTAGTGAAAATAATATTAATATATTAACAATTATTCAAACGATTTTATAGACATGATGGATAATTAATGATTGAATAGTTTACCTTGTCATAATGTGAGATTGCCATATGACTTTGTGATTCGAGAACGATAGTAGTCAAAATCGATAGCTTCCCCCTTGCCGAATGAAGCGAATAACAATATCTATGGTATACGCTAATTTTTTCTCGCTTAATGAATCTTGAATATTATTCTAGCCCGTACGGCCCACTGGCTAAGATTTTTACAACAAACAACATGTTGTATAATCTTCCAGTGTCAAAGAGAGGTTAGGGTTAGGGTTTGATAATAAAAGCGAAAACGGTACTTCATCAGCTGACGCTTCCAATTCCACTTGTACTCTCTGTATCAAGCGTTCAAAAGTATCACTCGATGTTATACTGGAATTCGGAGGACAAGTGGATTGTGCGAGGAACCAACAGTAATATCTTCATCCCCCGTATAAGTAGAGTGAATGCCGATAATAGTGTAGTGAATGGGGGTGGTTGATGGGGGAACCATTGCCCAGAGATAATTGGAGAACGGCCAGCGGGTTGAATCTGGAAGACTTAACGTTTGGGCAGCATCTACCACTTTTTGGAGGAATAGGACGGGAATAGTCTGTCGGTAGTTGGATTTCAATTAGATTCTTTAAACGGGGTTTCCATCTTTTTAGACGTTCTCTTGTTGCCTCATCTATTGCGGTTATAGTAAAAACTTGAATGCTAAAGTACTATTTATGTTATTTATGTCTAAAAAAACTGATTATCATAGTAATACAGATTCTACATGACGTAAATTCCTCCCTGAAGTGAAGGTGTTACAAAGAATAGATTTCGATAATTTCCGCTAGATTCGGTGTGCGTGTGTTCGTTCACGTGATCTAATTCTTTCGCAATATTTCTAATAAACGAGTAGTCCTTTATACTCTAAAATACATTACTATTAATGATTCATTCCCAGAATAGTTGTGAAACCGCTAATCCCTATTATTATGCACAATTGAATACGTTGCCAAATCCTACTGCTGTTAAACAATTAGTGACCTTACAATTGGGTTTCGAAGACTCACAATGCTATGTATACGCCGCTCCTAGATTTTTATTCAACCTCGAGTTCTTATGGCTGTTTCAATTAACGTATTATTTATTGTATTGTTTGGAATTTTGTTGGCTTTAGCATTTATCATTATTATTGATATATTCGGTTGCATTATGAGATCTCTAACCGATACAATAGCTAATTTTTTTTTGTACAACCTGCTTTTATACCCCAAACATTTTGCAAACATTATTGATTTTGTTAATGTGGTCAATCAATTTTATTTTGTAAAAACATGCGTTTTTGTATTAGGACTGTCTTTAACTAGAATATATCTTACTTTACTGATGAGGTACCAGATGACCTTTTGGCAACTTCAACAGCGTAGATTCAATACGGAATGCGTGACTATATAGATGACAAAATAAGAAGTAAGAATGTAAACAAAACGGAAAACATAGTGTGAATGTACATCCCCTTTAGCAAATAATAACCAATATGTCGTCACAAAGTATGTTCTTTGTAGCGATATATTCTAAAATATCCAAAATACTACGTATATTAGTTGTATCAATTCAGGTATCAGCAAGCGTGATACCCTGAGGATTACAATATTACTACAGAAAGAGATGTATTATTATGCATACCAAATAGGTATTGAATAGCCAAAGTACGTGTATAATAAATAACTACAGATTATAAAATTATGCTTTGGATAGTCGCACTATATTGATATTCGAGTGCAAACGATAAATAACAACAATAATAATAAACATCCTCACTTCGTCAATCGCGTTTTGGAATGACCATAATTTCGTCAATTGCATAAGAAACTATGTTGCAAACGGTAATCGCTCTGACGATGTAGTCAGATACCAATATGAGTAACCTGTAACAGGTTACTTCCACGTCTTGTGAATCCACTATTATATGTAAACTAGAGCACATTTCTGAACTATGCCCATCGTGATCGTATTAATTAAGGCTAACAGTTTTGTGTGTTATTAATCAGTGAAAGAACTTCTTTGCTGAAGATTGATGAACTGCATCGTCATATCATATGATTGATAGCAGAATTAACAATTTGCATCATTCAGATTACTATTGTGTCAAGACTCCACGAAATCGATGTTCCGCTGACCGATGAAGAGGAAAGGCATTTATACTTTAACCAGCGATAGGAAATCTTTACCAGGAATGATCAAAACAAATAGAATATAAAGAATCACAACCTATTCATTCAGCAAGAATTTTCCCATATAGTACTGCACATTTCAGGTAATCAATCTCACATGACTAGATCACCCTTTATTCTTTATGTAGTTGGTGATTTGGGGTTCAAATTTGGTTTTTGTGTGTGCCTTTTTCCTGACCTCAAATGTAATAGTAAAGTTTTTCACAACAGCAAGTAAATTTAATTATAACATGTTGATTTATTTGATTATTATAGACATCACGTTTATATTGATACTTGTAAATTAATAAAAAGTTTGTGTATAATCTTTGTAATTATTATTATTTTACTATTGTACTAATTAAATAAGGTAATGGGCAGATGAGACTATTGCTTATATATGTATGAGTAGACGTGTGTTTGAACTCTTTCATCAGCTAGTGGTCGATAAACCGTGTCGTTGTTAGAGGACTTGTTCGTGAGTTGTAACGAACTGTGGAAGCGATACATGTGTGTTCGAACTTTTTAATCACTTATGTGGTCGATCATCGTGTCGTTGTTAAAAAGACTTTGTTTGTAAGTTGTAGAGAACTGTCGTAATAGTAAAGGATTGCTTGTTGTATTTATGAAGCGATACATGAGCAATTATCTGAGTATATATGAGTAGACGTATGTTCAAACTTTTTCATCGTTTCTGTGGTCGATAAACCGTGTCATTGTTAGAAGACTTGTTCGTGAGTTGTAGCAAACTGTCGTATGTGCGTAAAATAAAGGATTGCTCGTTGTACGTGTACAATGGTCTGAGTATATAGCTAGTGGTCGAAAAACCGTGTCGTTATTAAGTGTTAAGAAAGAGTTCGTTGTTTGCTAATTGTTCGTGTTGTATGTGCATAATATAGAGTGGCGACAGAGGGTTGTTCGTTGTATATTTAAGATAATGTTGTATTTGCGCTTTGAAGGAAGAGAGGTTATTGTGAAGCGATGCATGCGCAATGGAGGAAAGTGTCTGGGTATATACATGTATGAGTAGACACGCGTTCGCATCATGACATAATATCGCGTTTGTCATGATTGTTTCCGTAAATAAGAACATAGAATCAGTGTAATATTCCGGGGTACCCGCAGTAAAAATTTTTTTGTTAATTGTCATGGACGGTCGGGAATGCTGTAGAAACATTTAGAAGGATTGTAAGGTGCTTTAGCCTTATAAGTATAAATGTTGTTGTTTGTGCTGCACAAAGGATTATAGGTGCTTTTTGTGTTTCCAGAAATAAAATTTTTTCACTGGTTAACAAGTCATACAGTGGGGTAATTCCGATAAGATGCATATAAACTAATCTCTATGACAACTTCGTGTAATACGTGTAAACATGCTGTAGAAAGATTGTATGTTATGTCAGATCGGAATTATAGCATGATGTATGAATCAAGTTGCATTCTGCTTCAGTCTTGTCTTATCACTATGTGGAGCTATACGCACTAATACTAACGTACAAGAAACACAACCATCGATAGGTGTATGTTACAAGAACGTCAAGTTAACTGAATATTAACTTGCCCCGATCCAACTCATAGAAGAAAACCAACCAATTACGCATCGATCATGGGTTCTCAGTAGTGGTACAAACGTTGGAGATGAATTAGAAAAATATGCTAAGTTCCGGAGACACATAAATGTTCAAAGTGAGTTTTTGAATTGGAAGCGATTATGAAGTTAGTGATGATTTCTTTTAATCTATGAATCTTTTTTTTAGTGGAATATTCTTGATTTAACGGAAGATACCCAAATAGAATCTGTTTTTTCAATGAAAGCTTTTAAAATTAGTTGAATCTGATATACTTCAAGCTGAAATGAATGGGACAGGATTTCCTCTTGCTTATATGTTTTTGGAAAATAATGGTCAGTGAAGGGAATTTGTATGGCTGTAATCCAGAATTTCCTCACAACTTTATGAGACACAGGAATTCATCCAGAATTTCTTCTCACTGATAAAGACTTGCTCAAATAAATGCTGCACACTTCACTTGGGTATGGGAGGGGATAAAAATACAACTATGCAAGTGACATATAAAAAGAGCAGTTATGGCATGGTTGGTAAGCAATAAATCAACTAGAAGTGTTCAACTTAATTCTTTATCAGAACTAGGCTGCCATTTTCCATTTGATGGAGTCACACAATCACCAGAATTTTGCCTGAAACAACATCACAAACTGTTTGGCAGTAATGGAGAAACACCTCCATCAACACCCATTGATACCTACAAACAATAGTCAGTTTCAGATGAGCACAGCAATATATGAAGCTGCCATCATAATCAATGAAATGTATGCATTCTGTAGAGAAAATTCCCTGATTTATCTTTGGTCTTTGAAACAGGAGATGGTCTTTGTGGGTGCAGTCTGTATGTGAAGAAAAGATCTCTGTATTAAAAATGACAATGTTTGTAGAGGGACATTGGAAAGTTACATTGGACAAGGAACAACGATTTTATCCACACCCTCATCAATACAAGTCAGAAAATGGTCTTGTGCAATCCAACTTATAAAAAGAGACATCCTTTACAAATTTTTCAAACTGTGCTTGGATCTTGTTGTGTATATGTTGATGACAAAGGTCATTCCTCACCAACAGAGAAAGTTGCAGCAAATTCTTTCTGGTAGAGAAAATCCAGAATGGATTAAACAATTAAAATCAGAATGGAGAAGATTAGCTGCACAGCCTATTAACAATGCATACATAACTGATGTGGATGGATGGATATGTGGATGCCCATACTATTTAATGAGTTGATTCAATATATGTAAACATTTAATTCATGAAAAAGGATCAGTTAATAATGAATTTTTTGGACATCTGAGGAGGAGTTATCAATCTCCATTTAACAGATATTGAAACAGATCACTCACTTGCATGTACATGAAAATTGACTCATTTCACAGTCCAATCCTGAGACATTAGATGACTTGGTCAAAGATCCTAATGCTCTTTATGATGAATTAATAGAATCAACAACAAAGGCACTCAATCTTCTCCAAGAACAAAAAACAGCTGGAAACCTTCATTGGATAAGGGGGTGCAGAAAAATTTTAATCCAATTATCAGAATGGTAGATAAAGTAGAGAATTATCAGCAGAGGAGAACAATGCCTCTAACATAGAAAGGTCGTACTCATAACACACGATTTTTGAATTAATTGTTTAATATACTTTCTCTAGAATAATCAGTGATAGCAAATTTTATGATAATATCATCTTACAATGAAATGTTAACCTAATGTATTCAGCATCATTGGGTTTGGTTATATTGTGTTGCCTCGACTAGTGTTTTTATTATTATTGTGTCAAAACGTCGTTTTAGCTCTTTTTTTTCATGCCATGCACCTCAACTGCTTTTAGTTTATTGTGAATCTATCAGCCACAATACGATCACATGAACGTGAAAGGGTAGTTTTATGTTGCGTGACGGAAAGTTTTCAGCAGTGATAGTGATAATCATGCATGTGTTTGTCTTTGTAATAATTTACTATCACGTAAATATGACAACTATTTACGGAAACGACACAGATTCTTTTTATGGAAAAGAACAATTAGGATGACAGACTCTCAAAATACTGTCACCACCTCTCAAGATACCCTGGAGACTGATACTGATGAGGGGACTGTTAAGTTGAAAAAAATACCGGCAAATACCACCAAAAGGCCAATTGGGAAGAAGCAGGGTAAATATCTTTCCTACTTATTCGATAATTTACTATTTTATGAGCTAAATTTCTGTTATTTTTTATAAAGTTTACCCTATGAGCTTGCTAGCGACGTTTCTTGGGAAGAGTATGTCGAAAAAACGGATAAATACAATATACATGGCTGGTAGTAATGGAAAACGGGGTCGTTTATGTAATTGAACTTCCTTTGCTATTCCATGGCATGGAAGCAGCAGTGTTGATGTCATTGTCCGGCAATTTCATAGGGTAACTGAAAATGTGATTATGACATTATTGGCCTTGGAACAGCAAGTAAGTATTTTGCATTTTTTTTTTCTTAATTTTGAATATTTTTTGTTACTAACTATCTTCGGTTAAGAAAGCAACAAGGTTACATGGAATTGCCAAAGAAGCAGATGCTTCATTTCGACCAGTGGCAAAACAGAGGCGGATCTGATGGAAAGGTATGAAAAGTTCCTGTTCATTTCCTGATGTGATTGTTTGGCGTTTACAATGACTTTACGTTTTTTAGAATCAGCCCTGGCCAAATTTAATAGTGGAGTTTGCATATGCAGAATCGGAAGCGAATGTCAAGGATAAAGTTGAAAAGTATTGGCTTATGGATGGCCGAGCTCATGATGCTATTGTGATTAAAATAGAACCTATCACATCAGTTACAACACCACCTGCAACTCCAACGTGCATGACTGTATGTATGATAAAGGGATTCAATTCTGCTCAATTTGCTTTGACACTGTCTGATAGCTTTTATTCTTAATAGGCCTGGAATTACTGCACAAATAATGTAACAGTTGTTGGTGTATTAAATCCCACAATGGTATGTTTGAACTATTATTATGTACTTTTTTAGCATAGAATTAAATGGATTTAAGATATTCCCTTATTGTAGTATGAATTCGGCTCAGTTGACCGCCCGGGAAATCCAATCAACCCACAACTTGGACAAAATGTCATCAATATTCAACTGGAGTGCCTCTATCATGGAGTACCTAATGTTGTTATTCCATCACTTCCTCTACCTAACCCCATTCCTATCAATCTGTTTTATGTTAGGTTTGCTATTGAGCATTGTATTGTTAGGTAGGCATTAGTATTAATAGTAGATTATGTAAAAGCTTTTACGATACAGTACCACAATTCATATGATATGAGAATAAAAAATTGTGATGTAAACTACTTATGTTACATTCGTGTCCAACATGCGCACGACAACAATATAAAGTGTCATTTAACACGCGTCCACGCGTCCACTCATACATACATACATACATATATATACCCGACGCTCCTCTCCATAGCACTTGTATCGCTTCATAACAACTTCTCCTCCTTCAAAGCGCAAATACAACGTTATCAAAAAGTCAATATACAACGAACAACGCCCTTTACTGCTACTACTCCATATTACGCACACATACGACAGTTTGCCACAATCACGAACAAGTCCTCAAATAACGAACTCTTAACACACGGTTTATCGACCACGTAACCGACGAAAGAGTTCGCACATTCCGGCCTTTCACACTGACGTGCGGCACACGACTACACAAGTTTGCTTCTCCATTATTAATGTATATCGCACTGAATAGTGATAACGAAGGTTGTTATTGTACGTTTATTATTTATTCACATATCAACGTCTTTTCAACAAAAGGTATCTTTTCGTCTTAGTAAAATAAATAATCAACATTATGAGTAGCTAAACTAACTATTATAATATCTATTATACACTTAGAAGTTACATTGTTGCCTTAAATGAATATTTTACATTATAACTTTTTATTTAATGTGAAACACATACATACAGCAAGCATTACAAGCAATCGCATGATCACAATGTATATGCAATTGAAAAATAACCTACTGTTAATTTCAAGCTAACATTTAAACCACCTAATTAACTCTAACTATCGGTACACGTACTTTGTTAGGTGACGAATTTGACTTCTGACAATACAAATGACCGGAGGATGATAATGGTTGAGATGAATTCATAGTAACAATGGCAGATCTTATCTCCGTTGGCAACAAGATTTGTGATAATTGTTTATAAGGTATAAATCGCCAAAAGTTAAATCCATGCTAAATACCTTTGATTTCGCTTCCTATCAGATTTACATCTAATTAGCTCAGCATTAAGCATCAAAAAGTCATAATAGTGATTTGATAACTTACCATAAATCAATACTCCATACGTTTCCAGCTGTTAATATTAATAATAAAATCTAACGATTCTTTCATGAGTTCCGAATTCCATGTTTACGTCATCTATCTTTGAGTGGTTGTAGCCCCATTCGTACTACAGTCGCACCTCGATATAGTCACACTCGATATAGTCACACTTTTGCAACTCACCAATTCATTTTATATGAAATTTACCTCTATATAGTCCATTTAGTTATTCGTTTACTTCTGTACCGACATATTTCCTTTATAACAATTGTAAGGTTTGTACGTAGTTTCTTTGATCCGGAACAATATTTGTCTTTAACTCGGGGACGTTTTTTTGGAAGAAGATTATATACCTAACAATGGTGAGCCTGTTCCTCACTTGCAACCTGAATGGGCGAAGAATTGGACATCTTTATTACATACATGCAGTGTATTGTAATCTCTATATACAGTAATAATACACAGTGTTAACAAAGATCGCGAGTTTTTTCCAGAACGGATTCATACATTTCATATAAAAAAACAGTTTAACGAAGCGAAATCGTGGAGCAAATAATAGGTACATTGTATTATTTCAAGTTATTTTTTTAAACATTCTTTAACTCCAAAATAAGTTTAGTCGCTAGCGTTGGCATAATATTTACATTTTTGTGATGGTAGGGCAAATGCTAGTTCGGTAAGATGGGTACCCTAAAGCGATTATTTGTCACACACAATAGTTTGTGTTCACGTGAATGTTCGTTATATGAAGAGAAAATTGTATGTAAAAATTCGAAAGCTGAGTGTTCGGATCCGTTATAAACAGATTTACTAATAAAAATTCGTTATATCTGGCGACTTGGTTCGGTATAAACAGAGTCAATTGTATCTGGGCCATAACAGTTATTATTATAAGCAATCAACGAAATATCTGATATATGATTTATTTTAGAAAATAAAGACAAAAGCAAGAATAACAAGAATAACAAGATATATATTATAAATACAATATGACAATGAGAATCATTATTATTATTATCTTAGTTTAGTGGTACCACAACTAGATCGTACGACTGTCACTGTATACGGCTTATCATATGTGTAGCGGCCAATACAATTATAATTCGTATAAAGCGATGATGAGAAGAACCTCACGTTTAACCCATCGCGTTCACACCCGGGGGGGGACAAATAGTATTCGTTACAAGAGTAAGAGCAGTTTACAGTACTACCATAAATTACATCAATGTACATTGTGCACGTAGAAACTAATCGAATATTCTTTAGTACAAACACTTAAATAAAACTCGCACTAAATTCGTGATTTCAAAAAGAGTTTGATGGACAATGTAATGTTAATATTGTAGATTAGCTTTATTTATATGAACAGAACCAATTGTTATCTTCGTAAATGCCACTAAATCAACTCTGTTACTTCTTGTCAATCTCCCCTAATTCTATCTCTAAACTTGGCAAGCTGAAATCTGATAAGGAAAGTAACTGATAGGAACTACTTCTTGGTTTAGGCAGATCTCCTGTAGGTAAGGCTTTACTAGAATATTTACTTTCCTTCTCGAGACGTGATAGGGGTTTTACATCATTATGATAAATGATATTCCACATATTGTTGTAAGAACTATCCTTGTGCACCTTCCCCATAATATCACTACGAATTTCCTCTATACTTGGACGCTTGGCAGGGTCGGTATCACAACAACGCTGAGCAAGTTTCTTGTATTCTTCTGGTGCTGAATCAGGCATCGGTGGTCGTAAGCCATCTATAATCTCGCGTATTAAAGTTATATCAAACTCCCTATCTCTGAATGGTGGTTCACCAGTGGCTATCAAATACATAATAATACCAAATGCATATATGTCTGATTTCTGAGTAAATTGGCCAGTATGGAAGACTTCCGGTGCAATAAAGGGTAAAACGCCTCGAACGGTCAACTCACGTGAATTCACTGATCGGGAGAGACCAAGATCGCATATGAATGTACGAAACGCTTTTTCTTCGTGCAACACTATGTTTCCGCCATGAAGATCGCAATGTACTAATCCTGTATCATGAATACCATACAAAAACATTGCAATCTCGTCCAAATGTTTTAATTTCATCTTCCACGTCAAATTGTTAATATTTTGATTCAAATAAGACAAAAGATTACCCTTGTTAGCATATTGCATAACAATTATGTACTCTTCTGTTTCTGGATCTTGTGTGACTCCATATATTTGGAGGAACAAATAACTATTGTTAGTGCACTTGGCATGATTTCTGATCTATTAAATAATAAATACAGAGTCATATTAAAATCCTTTAATATTAATTGATAATATCAAAACATGCTTACCTCAGAAACAAATAATTCCCACGTCTGATCAAAACGATTGAAACGTTTGAGGACAACAATTTCTTGCATATCCTTTACTTCTGAATGCTTTTTATATTTAGCAGTATAGATTGTTCCATAACCACCAACTCCAATCTGTTTAATTTCATCAAAGTCAACATACTGATACTGCACCATATTATATTTGTAACATTGTATAATTTTGTTCAATAGTGGACGTGCTTCATTGTAGAAAACTAAGTAATATTTACAAGTAGATGGCTCTTGAGTAATCCCAATTATCCAAATATTTTCTCGTGTTAATATCTCTGGGTATTTGTTAATTAGCTATTTGAGTAAACAAATACAATCATTACAACAATCACCACAAAACATAAATACTATTTGCATTATTTTACCCGTGAAATAATTTACCTGATCAAAATCAAGCGACTGACTATCACCTATATGCTCAAGTGTCACTTGTGTCAATTTATTTGTTACCGGATCTAACCATTTTGCTTTAACTGTGCTTTCTTGTATGTCTGTCAATAGTAATAGAGAATACTCTATCCATTGTATATGGGCATCATCCCTATTCACCACATTATTCCATGATTCCATAATGAATGAATCCAATGACTCATTGCCTGTAGTCCAATCGAGAGGTACTGATGCTTTACATCGAGAACAGAATGCAGTTATCTCAGGGTCTAATTGATCTGCACATGCCAGACATAATTCAATCTCATTATACTGTGTTATTAGACAATACTTTTGTTTGCTTGCATTGTATGTAAATCCGATGGTAACCCAAACATTTTTCACAAGAACATCTGGATGCTTGTCACATAACTAGCGAAATAATACATCATTAATATTCAATAAACATGATGCATAGTTAATAATTGAATAGTTTACCTTGTCATAATATGTATCATCCGTCTCATCTGTTATTTCAAGCAGAGTCAATTTAACATTTTTACTATAAGTAGTAGGTAGACCATACAACTTTGCATAATGTCCCCCATCATAAATGCAATCGAATGGAATCCATTCCAAATAGGCATGATTTGCTGAGTTTGTTTGTAATTGAGATTTTTTAATAAACTCATCGAGTTGCTTATTGTTGCTGGTCCATCCATCAGATAATTCTTTACAACCACAAACGCACCACACAGGACTACATCGGAGTATTCCACATGCAGTGCAGAATCCATATCGAGAGTAATACTGGTAAAACCTTCTATCAGCAACCATGTAGTAATTACCGTCATACTTGGTGAATCCGTTTATCAGTTTGTTGCGACATTCAAGCCATGTTTCGTATCTTCTAAACTGATTAACGTCATTGTTGTGCTTGCGTGTCGGAAGTGAATATATTCTAGCAAATTCACTCATAAGTGTTTGTGTACACTCTTCGCTACTTCCAAGGCATAGCAGCATTATTGTTTCCTCAACGCTACCACTCTTCACTGCATAGTAGACGTTATCAATTTGCGTTGGCTTTATGTCAGTGATTTGCGAGCAAGGAATCCGCTCAAGTCCTTTACCAAAGTAGGATTGAACCAAGTTATCAATTGCTGGACTATGCATATCGTCAACAACCAACGATGTAGTTTGAATAAAATATTTTCATCTCGGGAGAACATTACATACATACGACATGTTACACGGCGAAAATTATTTCCTTTTTTCACTCATGCTATATTAATATATAGATAACCCATTCCTTCATTTTTCAACAATTATTGTGATATCACACACACGCATTATGAGTTTAAACTTCGTATCGAGTGTAGCCAATGTTTGCTTCCAAAAGATGCATTCATGTTCAAGAGAAACATATAAATACTATTCCAGAAAGAGTAAACCAATAAATAAATACAATTGATGTATGAACAATAAATTATTGCTGTAAACTCGGTTCTAGTTTCAAGTACCATAAGCAGTCATAATGAGAACAGAAATCTGTAAATATGAAAATCAGCTTGTACCGATATCAATATTTGATATGGTAATGGAGAATAATTCATTATCTGGTATTAAATTTCGAGCTACTTCATTGTATACAACAACAATTTAAGTAGGCATGCTGCAACCGATCAGGATAAGCGAATTGCTCTTTCAATTCAATTAAACTGTTCATTAAGCTACATCGCACACTTTGTTGGACGCGAATCCGTTTAGTGTAATTGCTAAGCATTATTAATCAATAATGGTTTGTACCACTCTGTTATTATAGGCGTAATTGAATTAGGAGAAGGAAGGCTAGCTCTTGCTTGCAGTGTTATCACAATTGTATGTATTGCCTTTCCCGTTACTTTTTAATATTAATACTTCTTATTTTTTTTTGCTGCAATACAAAAAAAGCGCTTATACAGTAATAGGCGCTAACGGTATTATATCCTTCGAAGGGAAGTCTGCCAATTCTCAATTAGATGCTAAAAACGAGTTCATGCTAAGAAAATACTACATCTACAAATGAAATCAAATATGTCTACGAATATTGAAACAATAAGAGCTAAAAGACGCGGGGAAGAAAACGTTCTTTCTAATAGTATGGTCTTTGCCTAATCGTTTTGAACGGAAGAAAGTGTTTATTGCTTACTGAGGTTAGATTAAGACTAGATTTGTATATGCATTTGTAGCTTAACACAACGTACGAATGTAAGTTTATATCAGCTAATTGACACGGGGTGACATTTTATCCATCAGTCTTAATGCTCTCCCAGCACAACCAATATAAATAGTAACGTTTCCTTTTAAAAACTAGGAAAACCATTACTTTTAATTAAATCTCTTGTAATTGTCAAGATAATTTTGAAGTAGGAAAGTTTGAAAATTTGAAAGCTTGCTTTCTTGCCATCTGCTAAAGAATTCTGTCTTGTCAGTTAAATAAGCGTATTAGTATTATAGAAGAACAAAAGTGACATTCATAAAACATTTGTCTCATCAAACAATATGATGCAACGAGAAATAAAATTAAATTATTATAAGATCACTGCACATATTAATACATATCTCCGGTATTTCTATATTTTACGCATTTAAAAGGAATTATTGGATTATGCTGTACATCCTACAATACTATGTGATTATCGATTTCACGTATTTGAGATTAGCGGGTATGTCACAAGATGAGCCAATGATAATCTTACTTTAATCTCAGATTGGGTTTAATGACTTAGATCATCGTCTACATCACATAACCCTTTACAACTCAAGCAAATATCGATTATGATTAGTGAACAAGAAGCCTTTCTTGTTAATGCTGCCGCCGCAACTGGGAAGTTTACTCTAAAACCAAGGATAGGTAGGCCATTACAGAAGGCTGCAAGTGAGAATTTATTGAATATGTTGCTAAATGTCATGGACTCAACTGCTATAATCTATAATAGACTATAGAACTGTATCTAGTGTCAATGGACCACTGGTAGTATTAGAAAATGTCAAGGTAAGAATAGCTTATTAACAAGACTCACGATATCTACATTCGCTTGCTGCCATTTAGTTTGTGATTTCTATTCCTTTTCTTGCTTTGTACTCGTAGTTTCCCCGTTTCGCCGAGATTGTCAATCTAACATTACCGGATGGATCATGTCGTGCTGGACAAGTACTGGAAGTTCAGGGGAAAAGAGCTGTCGTGCAGGTGTGCTTTGATAAGTTACTGTGTATTCATCTTTACGTGATTAACGATTGACATGTATAAATGCTCGTCATCAATTTACAAGGTTTTTGAGGGTACCTCTGGTATAGATGCCAAAGCTACTCACGTGGAATTCACTGGCGATACTCTCAAGATTCCCGTGTCGGAGGACATGTTGGGACGTATTTTCAACGGATCGGGAAAGTCGATAGACAAGGGACCTAAAGTATTTGCAGAAGATTTCTTAGATATTAATGGTCTGCATAAGGAAAGACGTATTCTGTTGATCAAACATAGTATTACACGTATTCTCATCAGTGCAGTAAATTTATCTTGCAATAATAAGGATCACCAATCAATCCATATTCGCGCATTTACCCCGAGGAGATGATTCAGACGGGCATTTCAGCAATCGACACAATGAACTCGATCGCACGTGGACAAAAGATACCCATCTTTTCGGCTGCAGGGTTACCGCATAATGAAGTATGATTATACTTTTGTTTTATGAAAAACGGCGAATTTTTTTTCCGTATATTAATTGCTCATCACATAACATACAACTCTTCCTCCCTTTTAACTGTCAGATTGCAGCACAGATCTGTCGTCAAGCCGGTTTGGTCAAGAAAATAGACAAGGGTGTGTTTGATGACCATGAGGATAACTTCTCCATCGTGTTTGCTGCTATGGGTGTAAACATGGAAACAGCACGCTTCTTCAAACAAGACTTTGAGGAGAACGGTTCTATTGAGAGAGTAACGCTTTTCTTGAACTTGGCTAATGATCCAACGTAAGTATAAGACAGATGCAGTGAGATGTACACAAAAGGATAAACGAAGGAATTCTTATAACATATTGCTGATTTGCAGGATTGAACGTATTATAACTCCTCGCCTAGCTTTAACTACAGCAGAGTACTACGCCTATCAGCTTGAGAAGCATGTATTGGTTATTTTGACCGATATGTCTTCATATGCTGACGCGTTACGTGAGGTAGGTTAAGCCTCGTGTCCAATTGGCATCATGCATCCTCGCTAGCATTCAATCAGGTAAATTATCTCATGCGAATTTACGGCTCTCTACCGCTAGGTTTCTGCTGCTCGTGAAGAAGTACCAGGTCGTCGTGGTTATCCTGGTTATATGTATACCGATTTATCTACCATTTATGAGCGTGCGGGACGTGTAGAGGGAAGAAACGGCAGTATTACGCAGATTCCTATACTGACTATGCCTAATGATGGTATGACTTTATATTTGTTGCAAATTTAGACTCGGTAGCCTACTCGTGCAGACCCATTAATTTGCTCGTTCTTTTAATGACCGTTTTTTCTCGTTTGTTTATGGTCACTAGACATCACTCATCCAATCCCGGATTTGACGGGATACATTACGGAAGGACAGATATTTGTTGACCGTCAATTGCATAATCGTCAAATATATCCACCAATCAACGTGCTCCCGTCATTATCACGTTTAATGAAGTCTGCCATCGGTGAGGGAATGACGAGAAAAGATCACGGCGATGTCTCCAATCAGTTGGTAAGAACTCTGTTTTCATGTTTATAAAATCTTGGGATTGACCATTTATTGAACTACCCGACTATCCCTTATTGTTATTGCTAGTATGCCAAATATGCCATTGGTAGAGATGCAGCGGCTATGAAAGCCGTCGTTGGTGAAGAGGCTTTAAATCAAGAAGACAAGCTATCTCTCGAGTTCTTGGAGAAATTTGAAAAGACATACATATCACAAGGTATAGAATACGTCGTACATTCTGTATGGAAACGCAAGGTTTCCTCATTGACTGTGCCTAAACTATATTCATTCTCGGTTTCAGGTGCTTACGAGTCAAGAACAATATATGAAAGCTTAGATCTTGCTTGGTCCATCCTTCGTATATTCCCTAAGGAGATGCTAAATCGTATACCCCAGAAGATTCTACAAGAGTTCTATCATCGTGATAGAAAAGCTAAATCTACGCACAAGATGAAGGCTACCGAAGTGGAGGCATAAAGAACGAAATATTAGAGATGCTGGTTCATTATTCAATAGCATTTTATTTAATTCATGGTTAAAATGTATTTCTGGCATAGCAAATAAATGCGTTTTTTTGGTAATAGATCTTATTGGCCGTTGGCTTATTATTGCTATAATGAAACTTCTGATCTTGCAACATCTCATGCTCGTCATACAAGTATAGATTTAATTAGTTGGTCAATTCGGATAAAGGAATTTGCTTGAAGTTACTAGTTACATCTACAAATGAATGCTAAGGGTGCACCAACAAGAGAATTATTCTATCTACAATGAAGGGGCTTATTACTAATGTGTAGGACACTTCTTCACAAGTTTCACAGTATGGAGGCTTTTTCACATTACAATGCGTAAAGTTTTAATACCTTGCAAATTTAACATCGGATTTGTCAAGTCTCTCCTTAACCGATGAATAATTCCTTTATCCAAGTGTTGGTGCATGCTAATGATAATATACCCTTAGAAAAAGTATTCGTTGTGAAACCAGAGCAATCTCGCGTGTTCGCAGTCGAAAAATAATTTGTTCGTCCTAATGCTGAACATTTTCGAAAGAGTAACATACTGTATCCCGAATATTTCAAAAGCTACCATCAAAAAGGGGAGAAGAAATATTCAAGGACAGTCTTAATAACTATGTTATTCACCGATATCTAAGATACAAGATGGAGAGCTATTTTTTTATTACTCACAATTCTGAATTATGCATTCAGAATTAGTCCACATCTAGCCAAATAACGTTATCACCAGATATAGTCACGAAACGCGCTAAAACTGTTACCCCCAATTTTTCTAAAGACAATATCTGTTACTAGCACCCAACAGGAGTTGCAACACAAACATAGGTGGTATCGCAACTCACTCACTCCGATTCTCCCAATCATTATCAAGATTTCGTCTTTAGCATTTCATGACCGGATTTTTAAAAGAGACATGTCAAATATCGACAATTACTATTGACAAAGTTTCAATGGTCTTGGCTTCCCTTTTCAACTCATTTCAAACATTTATTTGCCAGTCTCCATAATAATTATATTGCTTTTTGGTGGAATTAATGCAATAATGGTTGGCAACACAAGTATTCCATTCTATTGTATGACATTATTTCTTTGACGACCACGAAGACAAGAAAAAAACCCCAATCATCATGAAATAAAAGTAAGCTACTCGCAGCGCCTATCAATCACCTAGCCGACCAACGAAACCAATTATAATTACGCCTATATTAAAAACTATCATTACTAATAAATTAGGAATAACAAGTCCTGTCAGGGAATAGGCTCCTGCGTCAGTCATTGTCGTTTTGTTTGTTGTTGTCGATTTGTTGTTGTTGTTGTTGTCGTTTTGTTGTTGTCGTTTTGTCGTCATTGTTGTCATTGCTTGTTGTGTTGTTGTTGTTGTTGTCGTTTGTTATATGCGGGGATAATGTCTTTAAATATGTTTATGGTTGTCGGCATTTGAATGGCGGAACCGAAAACACGCATATAACACTAAACATGCAATCTTATATGGAGACGCGCATAAAACATGCAATCTTATTATGGAAGCCTACGCGCATGAAACAGACTATATGATGGATCGCGGTCACAAATCGTTAATTGGTCACATTTGCTGCACACACGTATCTTAACAGTCTTTCTCACGAGCAAGTAAGTTCATGGGTAGACACTTGCAATTCCATGCAATCCGAATTTTTTTTTTTTGATACGTTCCGTTGTCTTTGTAAATATATTAGAGGGTTAAACAAAGTTGATATTAATTTTACATTAATTCCGATTATAACATCGTAAAATCCAACCTAAATTTTCTATTAATACGATAATAAAACAGCCATCCCACAGAAATCAAAATGCCTTCGCGTTTTGGAATCACGTGCGCGTGACAATTATCACCTGTCAAGAAAATATTCGGCCTCTGGTATGAGCGCTATATTACAGTATATGCATATATGCAAAATCGGCGTATAATCATTCATTTCCCCAATACAGATATGAACACAAACTGGTTAAACATCAGTACCCGTAGTTGTTAAAGTATGGTTGCATTTTTTCGGGATACCCGGGATACGTCCATTCGGTTAACTCGAAGTATTGTTGGGCTGTAATGATGATGATAATAAGACCACGTCAAGTCAAAAGTGATTGACATACCAGCATGCTTGTATGATAAATCTAATGACATTGTAATACAAGACGCTTTGAAAACCGCGTTGAGTTATACGTGTTATATAATGCATAGGCCACGAGATAATCGGATTTGGTGTGCATACATAACATCCTGCTTCGAATTGTCTAGTTTGGGTGGGTTTGATGTCATCGTCTTTGGCTTCGGATATTTGAAAGCATTTTCGTCTATTCCATCTGAAAAAGAAAAAGTGTTGAGAGTCCCTCCATTATATCTTAAAAACCATGAATATTTGCCGTACATGTTTCCTGCTAATGCTTCGTTTATCCCATCACCTACCGACATGCGCGTCATTGGATCAGCAAACCTTTTATGCTGGACTAGGAAAAATTTCGCGATTGGCCAAATTGACAGCTGCATTCTGAAAGCGAATTGGCTTTGCACTGGTACAAGCCTATAATTAGAGTAACATAACATGTAATTAGACTTGTAGTCTAATTAATGGATTGGCTGTTTTTGCTACTTGTTGCCGACTTGCCTTTCTCTCATTCTTCAGTTTTGTGCGTATAGAATCTGCACTGTACGGATGTGAACTGCTTGTTACGGAACTAGGAAGAATTCTAAAGTATCTTTTCCGTTCCTGGTCGTAATAGTAGCCTGGAATTTGCCGTGGTACCAGAGAATTTGTTGAAGTATCTTCTCTATTCAAACCAGCGTAATTGACGCCAGTTTGTTGCGTCCGTTGATTAGAGGTGATCGATGAATGTGCACGCTGGTCAAACTGAAGGTCTATTCTCTCAGGTGTGCTGTCGTGATTAGACCTTCTTTGCTGTGGTCTATTGCGATAGTTACGATGTTTTTTCCGATGATGATTCATTAGTTGACTATCCACGGGCAGAACAAGACTAATTATTGTTTTTTTGCACGTGTGATCTGTGGAGAAATGTTATTGGCTGGAATTTGATTATCGCCGAATCACATTGCTATTACTATTACTATAGCTTCATAAATGAAATACACCCATACTAATACATTGTTCTGACGGCCATGAAGAACAAGGATGTTTGATGATGCAGTTTGGCGATAAGAAGTCCCTTCCAGGGATCAGAGATGATAGTATATTACTATAATGTTAAATATAGCTTTATTAATTCAAAGAATCATCCTACTGATCATTTTAATTACATGCATGTAACTGGATTTGTAATCACGACGCAATAGAGATTTCGCTGATAGCACGAGTTAGAGTGTTAGGTAAAGATTTTTGTAATGGTTAGTACACATCCCCAAAATATGGTGCGCTAACCGACTATATGATGTAAAGCGGTTACATAAATAGACGTGCATCTTGCCCCCAGTTTGATGAGAGACTTAAGGATAACTAACGAAACATAGTCTGTAAAGAATCACCTTATTCTTCCAAAATTTTTTTTACAGATTCTGAGATATGTAAACGGAACGAAGAATTTAAAGTAACATTTTTAAACAGTCAACCAAATAATAACGTTGTGAAACAAATTACAGTTATTCCAAATATAATAACATATTTATTACAGTAATAACACAATTCGCGTTCACGAAGTGATATTGATGGTGCGATGACTCTGTTAGCTATGATCCTTGCATCGAAGGGGTAATCCGCGTACCTAGTTAAATTGGTGTATAACGATGTAGTTCGAATATTATTAATAAATTTACTGTATATTAATAGGTATAAGCTGATTTTCGTAATTTTTCTCATCATGTGACTCTTACAACTAGAGCTGAGTTTTACAGTAGGAGGTTTATTATTAGTTATAAGAGCCAACTAATAATTGATAATCCCCTTGAATTCTAAAACAATAATTCTCTCAAGTTTGAGAAATATCTAGCGCTAGTTGTTATTATTCTTATACTCTTTGAATACAATCTGGATAAATATGCGATGTAACACAATAAATGTTTTAGCTTCAGCTTCAAGATAAAAATAACTTCAAACGATGTCATTAGTTCCAGAGGTTAAGGATATGCATAATTCAGTAATAGACAACTTGGTTCAAGCCTCCTCAGAATGTGAATATCAACACTTAAGACTTGAATGGATTCCTTACCATGAAATCACCAACATAGAGCCAACTCAAATTTCCACCGTCCATTACGCTCGTCGTCGTCGTTACGACAATAAGATAATGCTGTTATGCCTTGGAAATAATGAAATTTGCACACAAACACTTGTGAGTGAGTTTGCTAGAATATACTCACTTCCAACACATAAGCACGATAGTAGTAGCAACAATTTCAAAAGACATTCCACATGGCTTTACCATCGCAACAAACTCATAAAGGGTTTTACCAAGTATGACGATAAATATTATATGGTTGCTGATGAACGCTTTTACCATTGTTACTCTCGATATGGATTCTGCTCCGCA